TGAAGCATGGGGATGCTGATACACAAGACGCTGAGGCTGGCTGGAATACAATAATTACCATGCTCCAGCAGGCTCGATTAATTGTGTACCACAGGGGCTCCCAACGCGTGGGCCGCAAAGGGTTGGCCACCGGACCGGAAGTGACTGCAGACTGGCAAACAACAGACTGGAAGTGACTGGAACACTGAGGATCAGCAGCCAACCCTTTTTAATCCTGAGTATATAAAAGGGTTGGCTACTTGCCTGCAGTTTGCTGGTCACTGCTGGTCCACAGTTTGCCGGTCACTTACGGTCCGTAGTTTACCGGTCCTCAGCATAAAAATGTTGGGAACCCCTGGTGTACCAGATTAAGAGTTTGCTTCTATGCACTGTAATTATACACTTCCAGCTCATGGACAGGTACCCTCTGTTAAACAGTGCCTCCTATACCATAAACATGATAAAGCCTGGGAAGACTAGGAACCAACAAACATCCCAAGAGGGGCAAAAGATGTATCACTGTCAAGATGAATAAGGGTGGGGGGATATAATTCATAAGAGAACAAGCAAAAATGAGGACTGTGGACCTCTGTTCCACCTGCCATGAAGAACAGAGGAGACTCCTAAATGCCTGGCCAGCTGCAGGGGGAGACTGCCCTCAGGGCCATAGAAGACTTATGCAAGGTTTCTGGTGTATAACAACTTCAGCAAAGCTTTCTGTTGTTTCTTTGCCTTATGCTTCAAATTGTCAACTGCTGCATTCAATAAACGCTCTCTTCAGAGAAGGGACCGTTTCTGCCCAAGCTGTTTTCATCCTTTCAGTGCCACCACCTAGCCAGTACCAGCCCAGCCTCTCGCTTCTTTATAATTCATGCCATCCAAGAACCAACTACAGACCAACTGTAGATGCTTCCTCAGCCTGACGAAGGGCATTTAAACCCAAAAGCTTGCTAAGAGAATTTTTCAAACTATTTGAGGGGGTCTAACAAATGATACCAGATTTACCCAAAGAACCCTGACCACCTAGCCACTAACACAAGGGGAGGCACGAAACTGTTTTGCTCCCCTCACAGCTCAGGCCAGGCCTGGGTAGAGGAGGGTTAAATCTCGGGCGGCTTCACAAGGACTCCCAGCTGAACCTGCTGTCTTGGTGTGGTCTTTGCTGCCCACAGCACAGCCGTCTGCTTTCAGCCTGCAAGGGCAGAGCACGAAGGACTCCCGCCCATCTGGACGGGCTCAGGCAGCATGTGACAGGGCTCTGAAAGAGCCAAGTCTCACGGAGACAGAAGGAAACGGCGCCTCCGGGCCACTGGGCTACAGCCAAACCAAGCCTAGCCGTGCTCCCCACCAGCCCCCAGGGCCCGCCCGCTCGCTCGCTGTCTCCCATCCCACCCTGGCGGCCCCCCAGCCTCTGGGCGCTGAGCCAGCCTCCAGCTGCACCCTCTGGGGCTCGTGAGCCATCAACTCAAGTGCCTGATGAGCAGGGATCCTGCTTTTCTCCGATTTAAAAAAATCCAAAGTTTTCTGATTAAAAAACAAAAACAAAACACACCCCCAAAACCACATTTAATCATGGAAAACATGAAACACCACTCCACACACACAGACAGACACGCCCACACAGAGTGGCATTTCGTTTTAATCACAGAAAAATATGGATTTGGCAAGGTTTTTTAAAGTCAGAAAGTGTTTGGATTTTTTTCTTAATCAGAGAAAACCAGGATCCCTGCTGCTGCGAGCCCCCCGCCCCCAGGGGGCACAGAGAGGAAGAAGGCTCAGGCAGAGCAGGGCTCAGGCAGGGGGAGGGGGGAGCTAAGCAGCACGAGGCAGCCCGGCAGCGGCACCCAATCAGAGACGGCGCCGCGCGCCCCCCACCCGCCCGCCGC